CCCAAATCCCCTCCCAGCCCCCGTACCCCAGTTTTTGGTTCAGCAGCCGTTTCTCCTTGGCCGCCGCCAGCTTCTCGCGGATCTCCTCGCGCTGCCGCAGCGCCAGGGGATTGATCACCTCGGCCGCCACCGGGTCCTCCTTGGTGCCCGCCTCTGCCCGGGGGGAGCACCCCGAAATCGGGCCCAGAATCAGCACAGGACACCCCAGAATCGGCCCCAAAATCGGCCCCAAAATCAGCAAAATTGGCCCCAAAATCAGCCCCAAAATTGGCCCAAAAATCAGCAAAATTGGCCCCAAAATCCGCCCCAAAATCGGCCCCAGAATCAGCACAGGACACCCCAAAATCAGCCCCAAAATCGGCCCCAAAATCGGCCCAAAAATCAGCAAAATTGGCCCCAAAATCGGCAAAATTAGCCCCAAAATCGGCCCCAAAATCAGCCCCAAAATCGGCCCCTAAATCAGTCCCAACGTTGACAAAATCAGCCCCAAAATCACAACAGGACACCCCAAAATCAGCCCCAAAATCGACCCCAAAATCACCCCCAAAACCAGCACAGGACACCCCGAAATAAGTTCCAAAATCACCCCCCGAAATCAGCATCAAAATCAGCCCGAAATCGGCCCCAAAATCAGAAAAATCAACCCCAAAATCAGCCCCAAAATTGGCAAAGTAAGTCCCAAAATCAGCCCCAGACACCCCAAAATCAGCCCCAGACACCCCAAAATCAGCCCCAGACACCCCAAAATCAGCCCCATAATGGGTAAAATCAGCCCCAGACACCCCAAAATCAGCCCCAGACACCCCAAAATCAGCCCCAGACACCCCAAAATCAGCCCCATAATGGGTAAAATCAGCCCCAGACACCCCAAAATCAGCCCCAGACACCCCAAAATCAGCACCAGACACCCCAAAATCAGCCCCAAACACCCCAAAATCAGCCCCAGACACCCCAAAATCAGCCCCAGACACCCCAAAATCCCCCCAAATCGGGGTTTTCCCGCTCACCTTTCTTCACCGTGCTGGTTTCCAGTGGTTTGAGCCCCAGCTTGGCCCGGAGTTTACTGGGAATGGGAAAAGGGGGTCAGGGGAGGGGTCCCAGGGGAGTTTTTTGGGGTGGGGGGACCCCAAATTTGGGGGATTTTTGGGGGAAAACTCGAGGGGTCTCACTTGGTTTCTTCCACGCTCAAGGAGGATTCGGCTGCTGCGGATTTAGGAGCGGCTGAAAGGGTAATTAATGAATTGGTGTTGATTAATTGGGGTGGGGGAAGATCTGCTGATGATCCCCAAAGTGCTGCCACAGCCAAATCTGCTCCAGAGGCACCAAAATTCACTTTAGCCCCCCCAAAAAACCCTTTAAACCCCCAAAATTCTCCTTTAAAACCCCAAAATTCTAATTTAACCCCCCCAAAATTCACTTTAATCCCCCCAAAAACCCCTTTAAACCCCAAAATTCTCCTTCAACCTCTCAAAAATTCTCCTTTAACCCCCCAAAATCCCCTTTAACGCCCCGAAATTCTCCTTTAAACCCCCCAAGATCCCTCTGGAGCCTCCCCCATTTAAATCTGGCCCTCTCAAACCCCCAAATCACCCCCGGCTGCATCAAGACCCCCCCAAATCTCCTTAATTGCACCTGAAATCCCCCAAAATTCACCTTCAGACCCTCCCCAAATCCCTCCCCGCCCTCACCGGGCTCCTCCCGCTCCTCCTTCCTCTCCCTCT